CATGTAGCTGCTGGCATTGGGAGATGAGCCCGTGACTGGTTCAATATTGGGCTGCATCTTGCGCCGTAGGTTCTCATTTGCCGCTTCAAGTCGATAGCGAGCTCTCGCTGAGTTCGATCTCAGCTCTTCGGGGCAGCAAAGGCCGCAGAGTGAGGTACCGCGCGGAGATGAGGACAGGTAGAAGAAGTAGGACTGTAGGAAAATACCGCCGGCCCACTGGACAGTCACAACAACCAACAAAAGCGGCAGGTAATACCAAGCGGCGGTGTAGGGGTAGTTTGCGTACCAGGCGCCAATCATGCCGGCATTCTCGAGGTAGTAAGTAAAGTAGTAAACAGTGGAACGAATTCGCGTCTTCCCTGCGCCGCCATTGAAGAACTCGAAGATACTGGCATAGGTGTACATCAAATCCGAGAGAAGGTGTTTCAGCACACCCTTCGTCTGCAGTGCAATGCAAAAAAAGAAAAACAGAATAAGATTTCGCTTTCCCCTATCTGTAGCACGTCCTGTGTTGAACACAAGAGAAGACTATTAATAGGTTCTTCCTTCAAGACGGGCCATGCACTTATCCTCGAAGCTCTGAAAATAAACTTAAATAACCGGTTCTACACTGATAAGACCTGACTAATCATGAGACAAAAAGGATTATTGCCTTTGTGCGGCTGGTAAAGGGGCTGGAGAGAGATTCACAAGGCCAGACGGATTTTAACCAATAGGATGCGCGTACGAGCCCTGGTTACCGCATCGCTCTTAGAAATGGTTGATTGATGACGGCTAATGAGCCAGAAATGACTACTTCAGTCCCTGTTGTCCTTGTCATTAATGTATTCTTGCTTTTCGTATAGTGTTAGCCGTTGAGCAGCTGATGACCAGAGCAAGTCCCAAGACAGAACGGGACGAGGGCTTTCCGTAACCGACCACTGAGCACCTATCTATTATCTTAATCGAAACCGGCCAGGCAACGAGCCCGTGGTGCACATACGGCTTCTAGAAAGCAAGGTCGCGGGTTCGAGGACCGAGCGCCGCAACACCTGTTATTGTGTGTGGCCGGCTGATGACCGCCAGTTTTCTGGAAATGGCCATTTCAGTCTCCCTCGTCTATGTCGGCAACATCGCTCTGTGCAACTTGTGAAATGTGAAGTTATTAATTTAAGGGGGTGATAAAACACGCAGTTGGGATTGTTTACTTTGTTCAGTAAATTGACTGGAGGCGCAAAATGCGTTTTACTAGAAAAGAGTTTAGTTCAGGTCAGTACACCCAAGGGAGATAGGCGCACAATTTGGCAAAATGCAAAGTTTCTCCATATCCAAAGAATTTCCTATAGTACTAAACGTTGCGGACAAAAACTTCTTTACGCGTGTTGTACTATCGAAGAATATCAATATAAGCCAGAAACGTTTTAACTACAGTAGAGTGCCAAACTGATTAAATGTGAAGAGCGAAATGAGCAAAATTGATTTATAGGGCCCCTCTAGGTATCTATCACACCCGCCCAACTGATTAACAAATTTTTAGTCAAACGTTTAATTATTGGCTAGTGAGCGTAAATTAATATGCAATTGTGGCGGAAGGGATCAAAAATATTAAATTAAATAAGATTATGTTTGTTTTAGTATACTTAAATAGAATAAAATTCGATGAACATAAACTTCTGTTGCGCAGGGAACGAAAGCTAATCGAGGGAAATTCGACCTTAAGTAGGCGAAATTTAACGAAAAACCGAACATTTAAAATTAGTTTTTTTTTATTATAAGCTGACGGGATTTTTGGGGCTTCTAAAATCAATCCTGTCGCGAAATTTAAATGGACGGTTCAAGACACATTTGTTCGTTTATTTTAGTTATTGAATTGACCTGAGGCGCAAAAACACCGTTTACTAGAAAATAGTCCATTTCTGCTCAGTATGCTGAAGGGAAGTAGGTGCAGAATATGGCAAAGCCAAAGGCTGTCGATATCCACGGAATTTCCTTCGCTATTAAACGCTGAGGGCCTAAAATTCTTGCTTGTGCATGTTGTACTATAAAAGAAGATTAATGAAAAACAAAAAGGTTCTAAATACATCTCGCCAGACGACGGAAAATTTCGTTTTGCGTTCATGAAATTGAAATAGGTGCAAGTAGGCGATAAACCAATGTTTTCAGGAAAATCAGTGCGGATTCATTTGAAAAAAAGTATGCTTTGCAAATCTGCCATGCTTTGCGCCATAAAAGTAAGTAATAAACTTATAGGGCTGTATTTCGTTTGACTACCTCGAAAAAAAAGGACGGTAAACTACCATACATATGAGCATCCAACGCATGCCGTCACTTTTCTCTGTCAAGCCGTACGCAAAATATGTCCAAACACTTTTAACCTATAGTTCAGTATGAATGAATAAAGAAACTTGAAACGGAACGGGTAGAAGATTGCCAGTTTTTGAAAAATCGTACGATATATCCTGCCCCATGCTTTTTCAATCTTAGAACTGAACCTAAAAATATATATATATATATATATATATATATATATACTGAAAACTACT